ACAATTATTTGTTTTTATTGATTTTTCTGAAATTATTTTTCACGTATTACTTTACATAGAGTGAGTTGTTAATTATGATGCACTAAACTATGTAATACACATTTTTCATTACAACATTATTTTTAGATATGTGTTTGTATTGTTAACTATTTTGTTTACTTGCACTAAAATTGAAATGCTTACTCTCGTATTTTTTTTCAAACATTTTCTTTAATTTTAATAATATTTATTATTTTATGTGTGCTATGATATTCCTATCTAAATCACCACAAGTGCACTCACATGGATTATTAATGCACTTCTAATGCACTATTATGTTCTATAATTTTTTATGTACTCTCACAACTATGGTGCACTTTATCATTATTTTGATTGCATTGCAATGGATTTAGCAATAAATGTATGTAGCAAGACGAATCGTCCAAGTGGCATGGATGATATAGATTGTCCCAACAACAAGGTCTTAAAGGGTGTATGTGAAGTGTAGTAAAAAGACACATGATAACGAAGATTGTGATGCATTTGAAAGAAAAAGTGCATTTCATTTTTGTGAAAAGTGCATATGTTAAATTTTATAAGTTTGTCATATAGTAGTGCACTTTTGTGTATATAATAATGAACATTATTAAAGTGCATTTCATTTTGTAAAAAGGTGTTAGTTTAGAGGTTTAGAAAGCATAATATAAAAATGTTGTTTTCTATATATTTAAATTAAAAGTGATAATTGTTAATCCACACCCTAGTGTATTTACTTTAGTTTATTTTAAATCATTTTGATTAAAATGTATGGAAATGCACACGTTCATGTTTGAAGTGCAATATAATATTTAGAGAGTGCAAGCTAAGGGAATAAATGTGCAATTTACAAAAGTGGAGTATTATGTATGAAAATGGATGTCACTTCATATTCATTTCATTGATAAATGGTGTTGATTATTTAATGATTGTTTGTTAAAAAATTCAAATCTTTAATTATTTTAACGTTGCAGAAAGTTCACAGTAAAAGTGCAGCTATTCTATACTCATGAGTGTAAATATTGTGATATTACTTGTGCATAGTGTTTTTAATAAAAGTGCATTCGTTTTCAAACAAAATGCATTCATACAAAGTTGTGGTGCAACACTTTTGATCAACTGATATTTAATATTTATGAGGAGATATTTAATATGAAATTAAATTACGTGATTAATGCAACAAAATAAAATAATTTGATTTTGGAATTTGAACATCAAATTGAAAAACAAAACATGATAGCATACGTAGTGGGAGCATTGAATTTTCCAAGAAATCTTCCCACTATTGAATTGATCAATTACCATAAGTAGTAGAGAAATATCCGGACCTTCCAACTTAATTCAACAAAGTCCACTAGTTACGTAGGTGTAGGTGTGTAGTTATTAGGATTCAAATAACTTTTACTAATTTACCCTTAATTCTTTTACTTTAATGCCCTTTCATCATTAACCGCATGCACTCCTTTCTGTTTTTCGGTCAATCACGTGAGCTGCAACATGTGTTTTTAAAAAAACCAAGCCCTCATCTTAGACGCACGATTACATTAATCAATGGTTGGATTTTGTTCTTTTTTGCTCTCCTAAGAGGGTGATCTCACAGGAACTATATATATATATATATATATATATATATATATATATATATATATATATATATATATATATATATATATATATATATATATATATATATATATATATATATATATATATATATATATATATATATATATATACAGAAAAGATCAGGTCCCTCCGGAGGGACGGGAGGGACCGTCCGAACTTTACTGTTTGGGGCGGTTCCCGGTGGAATTTTTTGATAAAATTTTTTGAGCATGTTCCTCATCAAGTCTAGTTTGTCCATACCAAATTTCAGCTCAAAATTCGACCGGGAAGGCAGTCAAATAAATTCTTGAAGCTTACTGCACATTCTGCGCATATATAAAGTGCAGTAAGTTTCAAGAATTTATTTGACTGCCTTCCCGGTCGAATTTTGAGCTGAAATTTGGTATGGACAAACTAGACTTGATGAGGAACATGCTCAAAAACATTCATCAAAAAATTCCACCGGGAACCGCCCCAAACAGTAAAGTTCGGACGGTCCCTCCCGTCCCTCCGGAGGGACCTGAGCAGTCCTCTATATATATATGTATATATATGTATATATATATGTATATATATATATATATATATGTATATATATATATATATATATATATATACAATATACAATCTTATAATTGTCAATGAAGGTTAGGGCAATTTAGGAATGAAAAAAATGTTGGTGTGATAGTTTAGCTTAATTGAGTTGTACGATGCTTTTTCTAATGTGTACTCTATTAAAAAGGGCATGACTTACGTTTTATTTCCGTTTGTTATGGCTCAACGGCTATCATCGTTCATCTAAGCATCTTAACGGCGTCGTGAACACGCCCTAAGTTTTCTTTTTCTATCATCTCTCTGAATGGCGCCCTAACCCTCACCGGCCAGCTGCTGGCTGCTGCCATCATTTCCGTTTTGTTCTGCTAACCCAGGTTCGTTTTAATCCATCATGTTTCATTTGAATTTGTTTAGGAGTTAGGCACTTAGGTTGCTATGCTTAAATCAGTCTTATACGAAGTATTAACACTTTGTTCACTTTCACAATTCACACTACTGCTGTTATTTGACTGGTTTGGTATCGGGCTGCAAATATTTTACTCTGTATCATTTAGTTTCATAGATATTATTTATCATTTATGTATTAGATGTGATGTATGTGGAAATATGCAGTTTTCTATAATTGGAAATCAGTTCAAGTTTGCCTTTATCTATGGAAATATATTATGCGTTTTTTCCCTGCATAAACTCATCAAAAAATTAGTTGCTTACTAGGTGTTTACATGGTGTTTCCCCGTAAAGTGATCTATACAAGTTCATGGTCTATACAAGTTCATATGAAAAAATTAAAATCATTCTAGGTGTTTGATAATATGTCAAGCTATTTCATTGCATTTTCCTTCAAGTGCTGCGTTTTTTGCTCCACTTTTTCCTCCGTCTTTCCTGTGTTTTTTCTGCATTTTTTGCTGCATATTTTATACTTCATATTACTTAAGACATGGATTGTGATTAAACGGTCAACACAACTTCATATGAAATGAAACTAAAAGCACGCTGCGTGTTTTGATAATATGTCAATACTATTTCTTTGCAATTGCGTTGAAGTCCTAAATATACCATTTTCTACTGACTAAGACTTCGATTATGATTAAATGGTCTACACAAGTTTATATGAAAGGAAATTAAAAGCACACTAAGTGTTTCGTGTTTGCTAATATGTCAAGGCTATTTCATTGCACTTGATTTCAAGTGATTTGTCTTTTTTAGTGTTTTTTCTATGTTTTTGCTGCATATTTTTACATTTATTAAGACTTAGATTGTATTTAAATGGTCTAGACCAGTTCATATGAAAGGAAACTCAAAGCACACTAGGTGTTTGATAATATGTCAAGGCTATTTCATATGTCTTTCAAGTGCTTTGTTTTTTGTTCTATTTTTTGCTGCGTTTTTTTCTAGATGCCTTTTCTGTTGCATATTTTATACGTAGTATATATCTGCTGCATATGTTTCCCGATAACAAGATACTTATTAAAAAAACAAGGTACTACTTTTCTAGCTTGCTGAATTCCCTTAATTCCATTTCCATCAGTTGAACACATACTCACTGAATATATGTGTTTCGGTTTGTAGGGTATAGAGCTTTTGCAAACTCCTGGGATGGCGACATACTTCATTAGTTACCACAATTTAAGTAACTTCTTTCTTCAGATGTGTGATTTTTATTAAATACCATTTAAACTTCGTGAGAACTACTTACATACATATGGTTTATAATTATTTATACTTGCATTAATGCATTTTATAAGAAAAATCATACTATCGTATTAACTTTGGACTTTTAGTAGAAGACTGATAGGAGATATGTACGGAGTACGGAGTATTAAATTAGTTATGTCTGACTTAGCTAAAACGTCGTGGACGCTTATCTCTCTCATTATCAGATTATACAGAGTATTTGTTTATTTAAATATATTCTATCACACTAATAATATTGATGCCTCAGTTACTTTATGATTGTTTATATTTTACCATAACACCATTCAATTCAAACTACATTTCATTACTTGTGAAAATTAATACTTCCTTCGTTCTTTTTTAATCGCAACAGCTCCAGTCCATTTTTCACGTTTTCCCACGCACAAGTCTGATCATTAATATCTTTCATTTCTTATTAATAAAAAATTTAAAAAAAAATTCAGATTTCAAAAATTTAGAATGGGAAGAATTTAACAGTATTTTTTATAAATTTAATTTATAACACATTATCAAATAAAATATAATCAAAGTAGAATATGTGAATAGTGCAAAAAGTCCAACGTTGCAATTAAAAGAGAACGAGGGTAGTATATACTATCGTATTATACTACGTGGTATATAGCACATAATATAAAAATTTCATAGATACTTACGTTGAAAACATTCTACACGTTTCATTAAAATTGATAATTGGGCATATTACATTCGCTCAACGCGCGAACAATTTACTAGTATATATATATATATATGGTTAAGATCGAATACAAAGTGTGCTTCTGATACAAAATGCAAATTCATCTCATCCATCCAAAATTACAAAATCAAGGGTAAAAGTCGTTTGAGCCACTAAATACTCAACCGTTAGTGGGAGTTTCCTACTTTCTCTCAAATATCAATATATCATCCGTAACTCATTTAATAAGTGGGGAATTTTCCCATCTCCCTCTCAAATCCACACCATAACCTCATTAATATAGATGGCCCTGATTAATTTGCATTTTGTAAATTAGGATGAGTTTGTATATGATCCTAAGTCTATATATATATACTTTGAGTTTGAGAATCTTTTACTTCTTTAACATTATTCACTACCTTATACAACTATATTCATAACTTTAGAAAAATATCGTGAAACTACTAAAAATTAAGAAGAAAGAGTATATCAGGTTCTCCAGTATATCTGTATATACATTATACACTGGCCATGATTCATGACACATCATTTTGTTATTATTACTTTCTCCGTCCCAATATTAACTCGTGATCAAACTTGCCTCATAGATTTTAAAACTCGGAAATGTGTGGCCTAAAATTGTGCAGAGGAAAGAGAAAGTGGAAACACATGTTGTGAGCCACACGTTCTTTGCCAAAAAGGGAAAAATGAGTTTATATTGGGACGAACGTAAAAAAGAAGAATGAAGATAATATTGGGACGGAGGGAATTTTCCATGATGGAACCCTTGACCATGACATTTTCCCATTGTAATATTATGGACAGCAAGGTTGTTGGCACCTAAGATCTATCGATGCCTGGGGACCAACTAAAGTGACACTTGTTTCCTGCTATGATCTACATCAACATTATAATGTAGACTACACCCCTCAGGAAGACATAGAGGCGGATCTTGACATGAGCAATTATTATCAACCATGAAGAGCTCCCACTCTTTGATACAGCACCTATCCAATGCAGCTATCAATCTCTGGCGGTGTTGTTTCTCATCGGGATACACACCGTCTGGGCTGACCAGCACTGCCCCGGAGTATGTTTGCCCTGCCACTCGAGCGGCCCCATGGTAGTGAAACAATCCCCAGCTTAGATCCTCACAAACATCAACAATCGTCCATATCTCATTTGAAACAACTCCATTATCCAAGACACTGAAGCGAAATGTCCCTGGGACTTTCCCTCTTTTTACTCTGTACTTTCGCCTTCTCCACACCAGAGCCCCCCTATCAAGTGTCCTAACCTGAAAGACTGGTTCGTACCAAAACGATCCCTTTGCTTTTCCTCTATAGAATAATTGGTATTGGCATGGGAATTGATCATAGGCTGGGTTTTGCCCAGCCACAACACGCCAACTCCAATCCAATTTCCCCAACCAACCCACGAAAAGATCCTCTGCTGTCTCGTGACACAATTTTTGCCCACGAAACTCTGACAACGGAGCTACATGAGGTTTTTCTGGGATTTTCACGTCCAACCCTAAGCAGTTGTTCTTCTGAAGTACACAAAGAGAGAACTCTTCCAGGTATGGGCTCTCATACGAAGCTATACATGTGTAATTGCATACCTGGTCCACTGCGCTGCACTGGTTTAAGCACCAAATGGCTTTTCTACAGTTAGGATCCAAAAGGCAGTTCAGTATCTGGGCCCCACAGTTTTTCAACATGCAGTTTAAGGTAGAGAAGCCTGTTGCTCTTAAGTTCTTCAATGTTGGAACTGGAGTTATATAAGCATTGATTATAACCAACAAACAAAACCGTATATCATCAGAATTATGCCTATCCCAAGCTAAAGACACAGTTTTGGCCACTTCCCTGGATTCGTCTAGTTTCTTCCATTGAGAAATTGAAGATAAACCTCCAAATATATTCCCCTTAGTTTCAGTTTCAATAACTAGCCCTCCGAGCTTGTTTGCTAATGCTGCAGATGACTCGAAACATATGATATTTGGGACAAAATAGCCATGTTCTTGAATCCATTTGACTGATTCTTCATTTGTAACAGCAACGACGACCATAACATTTGATCGGCACACTTCCTCTGTAACACGTTTGGCATTTTCATTGTTAGACTGATAAAAGTTATCAATAAAAACGTGCATTTCATACTGTTCATCAACCCACTTCAACCTTTGTGCCTGCATGGAAATATTGATGTATAGTCCTTATAGGAGATTCAATGTTACAGAAACACTTTAAAGGTTAAATATACGAAAGTTAGACATTGCAGTATCATACCGTAAAAAAAAAGACATTGCAGTATCATACTCCCTTTGAGGCTGTTCCAAATAAGGGTGTATGAGGCAATTACTTGGTTCTCTAATTGAAAAAACCGGGCCAATCACCTAAAAATAACAGATAACACATTTCCTCAAGTAGGACACATTGTTTTAATTTCTTCTCAAAATAGGAGTCACTATTCAACACTAAAAAATAAAAGCAACTAGTAAATCTTTTTCTAGAAGTGGATGGACCCTATTCTGGGAAGAAAGCAATGATTATCCTATTCGAGGAAACATGTCATTTGCTAAGTTGGGTAAAACAGATACGGAGTATATCACACTTAACTACTTAAGTAATCTATTGCTAATGAAGTGATGCCAACTATATGAACTTCACCATCACACAAATAAACGAAGTTTGATAACTACCTGAGTTCATATGATATTCTTAACAACATGAAAATCAATCTACCATACCCCAAAGGCCAGCCAAAATAGCATAGCATATCGATTCCAATGAAAAATTATCCAAGACACACATAGACAAATAGGGTTTCCATCAATAGGCTAATTAAACATCGGGGGGTGAAATCAAACAACTGATGACAAGCATGTTCTTCAATTTCATCAAATAAAAAGAATTTGCACAAGTTGCATAGTGTAGAGACGCCCTACCTCTGGCTGCAATAAAATCAGTTGGCTTGGGCATAACATCACACATTCTAAGATAGAATGAAGCAGGCATTAAACTTCTACAAATACTTTGTTTCTGCCTAGTGTCAGTACCCTCTCAGACAATTAATATTTTGCAGTCTGTAAAATAGGCGAAAAATCACACCTCAAAGAGAGAGTGACGGAAACATATTCTATAGTAGAAACGTTATACTCACGGTGTGGAGCATGACGTCATGCCAAGGAGTGGACTTGAGGGGGCTGACGCTGCCGTCGCCGACAAAAGCTACTATCCTCACCGGAGTATCAAGTTTCTCCGTCATGGAAGCATCCTCCGCGTTCAGAGCAGCACTTACGGATCTTCGAGCTGCCGTGGGATTCCCGGAGAGAATCAGCGGAGCAGTGAGCCTTGCGGTTCTGCGGAAGAGCGGATGGAGAAGGGCGGTCCGAGAAAAACTGATGGGATTCATCGGAAAACCGGCGCTTGACGTGAACAGAGGCGCAACGTCGGCACTCATGGTGGTGACTTGTCAGGGAGTGATGGAACTCAAAGAAGCGTTTGTGGATTACGGCAGCGCCCTCCTAAGAGTTGTGCACATGTGGACCGTCCCTAGCAAAAGGAATTCATCCTAGCCATATATGGTTGAGACGGTTCCCATGGATGTGGAGATGCATCTATTACAATATCCATTTTGTGTTAATTTATTTCAATATGGATCTCTCACTGGAATTATCTATGAATCATTCTTCACAAGGGAATAACCATTTTGTAGGAACCTATTGCTTATTTAATCATTGTACAAGGAATTGTATGTTTTCTTTGCCATCACTTTTCTTGCTGACTCTCACTATGCAACCTTATTTTTTAAGACTAATAATAATTAACTTCAGACCCTTTCACTTTGTTTTGTACTTCACTCGTCTAATTTGTTTGGAATTAATTTACGCAACACGAAGAACAATTAAAGAACACACGAAATCTGGTAACCCAGTTCGCTATGAATGACTACGTCTGGGGGTGTTACCACGCCAGGAATATTATTGGTATTTTCAGATCCACACATGATTACAAGGGACAGAACTTGTATTTATAGAGAAGTAAAACCTAACCCCAAGGCAACTAGGATGCGTTTCCAAAAATAAATTAAGAAATGTGTTTCCAAAAATAAATTAAGAAAAACTTTGGTTATACAGTCTCTAACACCTTACAATCTCCCACCTGGAGACTGTCTTCTTCAAATCCTCCCTTGTTAGCATAGTAGCGCCGGCCTTCAACTTCAAGTACAAGGCCAATTGAAGCTATGCAAAACTTCAATTTCTCCATGGTTACCACCTTAGTAAACATGTCTGCTGGATTCTCACTCCCACGGATCTTCACAAGCTGCAATGCCTCTATCTCCAGAAGATGACGAATGTAGTGATACTTCAACCGAATGTGTTTGGTTCTCTTGTGGAAAGCTGAGTTGTTTGCCAAGAAAATATCACTTTGACTGTCACTGTAAAGAATGTTATTCTTGTACTCCTTCCCAAGTTCCCCAAGTAGATTCTGAAGCCACACCATCCTCCGTAATGGCCACATATTTAGTTTCAGTGGTAGATAATGCAACAATCTTCTGCAGCTGCGAAAGTCAGGAAACTGTTGTCCCACCAAATGTAAAAACATACCCGATGGATCTCTCACTCGGTATTTATCTACTCCCTCCGTATTTAAAAGAACGCTACGTTTGGTTATGACACAAGATTATGACACAAGATTTAAGGTAGAATAGTAGGGGTAATGAATAGTATATAAAAAGTAGGAGAGAATGTGAAAAAGTAGGAAATAGAGGATAAAAAGTAAGGGTAATTGGGTATTTTTAAAGGAAAAACTTACGAAAAAGGGAAAGTGTTGGAAACTCTTAAATATATCCCAAAAAGGAAAGTGTAGGGAAATTTTAAATACGGAGGGAGTATGAATCATTCTTCTTCACAAGGGAATAACCATTTTGTAGGAACCTATTGCTTATTTAATCTATGTACAAGGAATTGTATGTTTTTTTGTCATCACTTTTCTTGCTGACTCTCACTATGCAACCATATTTTTTAAGACTAAACTCCGTAATACTCCGTAATTAACTTCAGACCCTTTCACTTTGTTTTGTACTTCACTCGTCTAATTGTCTATATTAGTGATGGTTTCATATATAAAACTTCATTTGAGTTAATTCGTTCTACTTGCCTATATTAGTAAAATAGGAACACTGGTTATATTACAGAGTATAAAACTTTGTTTTGTACTCTACTTCATTCTATCATAAAGATATAAAGGCAACCTTTTTGCTCAAGATGAATCATTTCATGTATTAAATTTAAACGCACTGTTCTTTTGTGTTGTTGTGCACTAATAGAATATGTAAATGTTTAGGCGAGAATACTATTGACAAAACATTTTATTGTTATACACTAGAGTAATAGATAACTGGAACTGGCAATGACACTTTTTCATGAGTTATCGACCCCAAGGTTGTTGGCACTTGAGATCTATCGATGCCTGGAGACCAACTAAAGTAAAGACATTTGTTTCCTGCTATGATCTACATCAACATTATAATGTAGACTACACCCCTCAGGAAGACAGAGAGGTGGATCTTGACATGAACAATTATTATCAACCATGAAGAGCTCCCACTCTTTGATACAACACCTATCCAATGCAGCTATCAATCTCTGGCGGTGTTGTTTCTCATCAGGATACACACCATCTGGACTGACTAGCACTGCCCCGGAGTATGTCTGCCCTGCCACTCGAGCCGCCCCACGGTAATGAAACAATCCCCAGCTAAGATCCTCACAAACATCCACAATCGTCCACATCTCGTCCGTAACCACTCCATTATCCATGATGCTGAAGTGAAATATCCCCGGGACTTCCCCCCTCCCCACATTGTACTTTCGCCTTCTCCATGATGTAGCGCTCCCATCTAGTGTCCTCACCTGAAAGACTGCTTCACACCAAAACGTCCCCTTTTGTTTTCCTCTATAGAATAACTGGTACTGGCACGGGAATTGATCATAGGCTCGGTTTTGCCCAGCCACAACGCGCCAACTCCAATCGAGTTTCCCCAACCAGCCCACGAGAAGATCCTCTGCAGTCTCGTGACACAATCTTTGCCCGCGAAACCCCGAAATCGGGGCCACATGTGGTTTTTCTGGGATTTCGACGTCCAATCCTAAGCAGTTGTTCTTCTGGAGTACACAAAGAGAGAACTCTTCCAGGAGTGGACTCTCGTAGGATGCTATGCATGTGTAGTTGCATACCTGGTCCCCTGGGCTGCACTGGCTTAAGCACTGAAGGGCTTTTCTACATATAGGATCAGAAAGGCAATTCAGTATTTGTACCCCACAGTTTTTCAGCATACACTTAAAGGTTGAAAAGCCTTTTGCTCTTAGGTTCTTTAGTGTTGGAACTGGAGTTATATAAGCATTGATTATGACCAGCAAACAAAACCGTATATCATCACAATTGTGCCTCTCCCAAGCTAAAGACACAGTTTGGGCCACTTCCCTCGATTCATGTAGTTTCTTCCATTGAGAAGGTGGTACTAATTTTGTAAATATATTATTACCCTTAATCTCAGTTTCAATTACCATCCCTCCCAGTTTGTTTGTTAGTGCAACAGATGACTCCAAACATATGATATTTGGGACAAAATGGCGATGTGCTTGAATCCATTTGACTGACTCTTTACTTGTAACAGCAACGACTATCAAAACATTCGATCGGCGCACTTCTTCTGTAACACGTTTGGCAACAGTTTCATTATTAGACTCATAAAAGTTGTCACTAAATACGCGCATTTCATACTGCTCATCAACCCACTTCAATTTTTTGGCCTGCATGGAAATATTTAATGTAAAGAAATTGCTTCAAATGGGAGTAGAACACATGAAAATTGCACAAATACAAAGAACTAAGTTTCATTACTTAAACATGACTTATATGGTTATATTAAAAGTAACATTCTAAGAGTCCTATTTAACGCATAGGAAGAATGCTGAAGTCAAGTACAAAAATATGTCATAGGTTAAATTTATGAAAGTCATTAAGCATATATTGTAGTATCATTCCGCCTTATTTAGAAGATCATCATATGCTTGAGTGTTTGGCTTTAGAGTTCTTAGACATGTAATATTTTGCACTCCATAACAAGGGTGTGGATAGCGGGCGTGATGGACAGAGCTTCACCCCAAATTTGTTGAGATTCTCTATTCCACATGATTTTTTAAGAGATGAGTTCTGATTTCGCTTGTGTAAATGACATAGTTTTTGGCAACTCTATATATTCATTTATGTCTTTTCGGTGACTCTCAAACTTCATTTGTTTGTCCAATCATGGAAGATAATAGAGGTGAAGATGATGAAAATCTAAGATGATGATGAAGAGGAAGTGAAATTGTCAAAATATAAGAATAGTGAAAGACATATAAAGAAAAAATGAAAAGTGAAAGTGGAACAAATGGCCATGAAGAACATGTTTTTAGGAAGGTGGTTCCAATTAAATTTGTAGTCCAAAGTAAAACATGGCAACCTGAAGGGAGAGTGATATATAAAGTACTACTACCTCCGTCCCATATTTATCTTCATTGTTCGGTTTACGATGCTTGACTGACGATAAAGCAACTCGATCCCTGTTCACACTCGGATTATTTTTAGTAAATAAAATTTACATATTCAGAAACTACATTAAAACCTAAAACCGCTACAAAGCCAAGAAAATTTAAGTTTGATAAAAATTTGATATATAAAGTAAAAGATTAAGAGTAATTTAAGTTGACCATGTGAATAGTAACTATGAAGATAATTTTGGGACGGAGGGAGTACTATACTCACGGTGTGGAGCATGACGTCATGCCAAGGGGCGGAGTTGAGGGGGCTGACGCTGCCGTCTCCGACAAGAGCCACTATTCTCACCGGCGGCACGGAAGGCCCCAGCGAAGCAGCAGCTGCGGCTTTTACCCTTACGGGCCATGACACAACCAAAGGAACAGCGGCACTGAGAAGCCGCCGTGCGGTTTTCCAGCAGAGCGGGCGGACACGGGCGGTGTGACTCATTTCCGCCATTGGTAAACCGGAACTGGAACTCATCAACTGTAGTGGCGCTGCGTCCATACTCATGGTACGTCGGAACTCAAAGAAGCTACTGTGGGGTTGTAATAAAGCACCACGCAGGCACCTTATAAAAAGCCCGTCTAGCTCAGTTGGTAGAGCGCAAGGCTCTTAACCTTGTGGTCGTGGGTTCGAGCCCCACGGTGGGCGAATCATTACTACATTTTGTTTTGCTAGTATCCAATGTTTTTTTTTTGCTTGTAACTACTACGGAGTAAAATATAACAAGGCAGTCTCTATCTGTGGTATTTTTACAAAGAGTTACTCCGTATTTATTTTTGATAAACTTTTACACGAATAGTCCAAGGGTTTTTGAATATTTTTTCTTGATATTATATCTTCTAAATCAATATATATATATATATAAAAGAGGAACTTTTTAAGAGCATACGGTGTGCCACATAATCCTGCCATGTCATCATATATAATAATTATTAATTACTTTTTATGCTTTTTATTGTTTATTACATTCTATTTTTTATTGCATATTGATATGGAAACAAAATATTGTACGATTATATAAAATCCACCTTATTTATACTACGTAACTTTTTGAGAACCTCTACTTAATTACTCCGTATTAATTTGTATGACACGGATTAGCATCCTTTTTTATTTGTAATAAAAAATAAAGTAGATTGAAAATTTATTTGTAAGAACTAAATTTTAGATGAT